AAATCCAAAGTACAATTTAAGTACTAAATTTAAATTAACAGTTAACTCAACTTCAGGCCATTTGAAATTCCAATACGTAACATGCAACTAACACATACCTGAAATTCTGTTTGATGAAGATGAAAATACAAAAGAAGAGATAAGACCATCACTAGACATAAAGTCAATATCAATCTTATTTTGGTTTTTAGCTTCATCACTGCACAAAACCTGGAATATCTGCAGAATTGAGAAAAAACATGAATAAAAGACTAATAATTCAATATTTATGAAGATGCCATGTTTTTATCTCTCTCTCATAAATTTTTTGAAAGTAAAATAACCTGAACTTCAATAACTTACATAAATTATCTGTGCTCAATACTAGCAATGGCTCCACATTCATCCACAAGAAACACAAAAGATCTCCTAGACCAATCAAAGTGAAGTTGAATGAAAATCTAAGATATTTTAAGTGTTAACTTTGAAGTATGATGAACTAAATCTCAGACACTACATAGATACTTGAGTAGAACCGGGATGTTTTACTAGTAGTGCACATGAACCGCCAAAAAAACTAAAGCAATCAACAATGCCCAAAGGCACAATGGATTTTATTTTATTTTAGCACCAGATTAGACATGAGTTTCCACATACTTTTTTTAGCATATGATCTGATTGGACAGATTAAAACATCAGTAAGATGATTGTTAATAACAGCTTAAAACAGTCACATTTAAAAGGACTTTAGACATAATTAATGCAATTCTACCATCACCATCAAATTAACATTTATTTTTATGAAATAACAAACACATTTTATACTTTAAAAGTATTTTGACAGGCCATTAATCACACTATCTGTAGAACTTGGCAATTAACTCAGTTAATCAGTATAACTGATTACCTACAAGCATCAATTACATAGCCGAGTATCATGTTAACTAATCCATTAATTAAAATTACAATCAAATTGGTTAATTTCATGAAAATAGTCAACTAATTAAAAATTAGTGTTTCCTATTATCATAATTACTCAGCTTACAGTTTACTTTTTACACAAATTACATAAGACAATTCATAAATATGGGACAAGTGACATTCATAAGCTGTGCAGTGAATCCAATCAGGTAATGGTAGGTTAAAATTATATGGTAATGCCAGCAGAAGTGACAGTAATGAAAAACTACTAACCCCTATCTTTTCTCTTAGCCTGGCAGTTAAGTATTTATATTCCACAGCTCAACATACATCAACGTTATGTTTCATAGTTATGAACACAATACTACATCACAAGCCAATCATCAACAGACACCTTATACAACCAATACCACGTGAATGTTGACTTACATCATACACTATAGCTTAGCCAAAATGATTGCACAAAATGTAAATAGCAAACTTGTAAGTTATTATCAATAGAAAATGTGTGTGTGTGTGTGTGTGTAATGAATGCATAATCACACAGTTATGTGCCAAATATGCCTGCATCTGAAGGAAAAAATAATCATAATTCCTCACAATTCATATGAAAATAATGCAAAAATGCATTGGCTGTATAACAGCATTAAACGGGGACTGTGTATACGTGATAAAATAGCACAAACTATACTATCCTTCAAGATGATAAATTTGTCATCGCAGCAAGAATATGTGATAAGATTAACTAAATAATAATCATTACTTCGTGCATTTATTTTTAAAATATCCACTTACCATTATTATGTTTTTATTATTTTCAAAAGGTATATAAAAGGTGTTTACTTACATCATTTTACTCTGAACTACCTGTACAGGTTCATACTTTGTAGTTTATTCACACCAACTAAAAAAGGTTAGAAATCATAATATTTAAAATTATATATTGTTAGCAATTTTACAAGCCAAAATTCAACAACATAAAACAAAATGTTTCTTACCAAACTAAACTATGTTAAAAATGCACTTAATTTATTTTATACAGCAGTACAAGTCTTTGAAACAAGTTGCATTTCAGTTAGTATATTAAATATAAAGGTTTCTGAAGACGAAAGGTGAAAGACTTTTGAAACGTTGTCCTCTACTTTTGTGTCTCTACAACAGGCAGTTGCCATCCATTCTACAAAGTTTCATCATGAATACTCTGCCTAAACAAACTATCAAAGAATGATTGGAATATAGTTCTATTCTTTTCAGTATTCCTATCTGTACAGCCTAAAATTCTGTTAGCTTTACCACGTACTGTAGAACATGGTCTTAAAGGCTTTCAGACTACATCAACAAATACCCCTTTTCATGTCCTTTAATGTAACTACCAATAACCAAACAATTGGTTTAGTTTCTCAAATAAATAATACTAGTCCCATACTTGCTAACTTGTTCAGCTAACCAACTGATTGAAGTCGATCTCGCTGCAAAACTGCAACATCCTTTTAATAGTCAGCAACAAACTTAACCAATCTCCCAACTATCCTCTTATCAGTATCACTAATGTAAATACTGAGGCACACCACTTGTAACATAAGTCCAATGAAGCTGAAAACAATATTTGTTTTCTCCTGCCGAGCCAATCTTCATTCATTAAACTAACTTATCTCCTGCTTCAACAGAGGTACTTTTTCACAAATCTTTTATGTGGCACCTTTTCAAAAGTTTTCTTAAAACCCAAGTAAATGAATACCACTTCCTTACCCTCATCCAGATAAAAGGCAACATTCACAAAAGGTTAATAGGTCAGTAAAGTTGGATCTTCACTTCATGTAATCATGTTGGTTGCCTGACAAAATTTGAAACTTTAAATGATCCTGCAAAGCATTTTTTATCCGACTTTCTAAAGTTTTTTTCCACCAAGAAATAAAACTAACTAATCTAACATTCCTTGGACAATGCTACTCGACAATCTTCTGATACGTGCCTCCTTATCCAATGACAAATCAATAAAGAAAGTACTTCAGAACACTGGTTCTTAATTTCTTTTAAAACTCGTCAAGTTTTCCGAGTTATTGTCTTCATTAAGGAACCATGCCTATTTTAAATCTCTAATGTTTTTCAAATAAGCTCTGTATTAACACCCATGTGCATATTTCAAAAACATTTCCTGTACAGAAACTTAGGGTCAGGAAATCAATCAACATCCACCATGATGAAAACCATAAAAAAACATCCTAACAATTTGATAGTCATCAACATAAGCTCTATTTCTATCCTTCAAAGACCTCATTCTCATCATCAGTTCTTTCTGCATATCTTTATAACATCTGTTAATTCTAACATAACTCCTAAACTAATGTACATAAGCCAATTTTAATATCATAATTTTCTTCTTATCTAATTCCATAACTCTTCTGTAAACCTCTAAATCTTCAATCATTGCCTTCATTTCAAATTTCCTAAACCTATTGTTGTAATGTTTTTATCATATGGTGGTTCTTTTTGATTATTCAGTAAAAATAATGCATAGTCCAGTCCACTTAATAAAATGTGATTAATTTTTTTAAATGAATGTTCTATAAATTTTAATGTACTTTAACATAACTAACAATAACAAAGCAACAGGTTTAACTTCACACTTTATACTAAATTAACTAACTAACACAGACTCAATAATCAAACAAAAACTTACTACTACTATTTTAGTCTAGCTGGAAATTTTATATTGTCCAAATCATTTATCAAACTCTTAAATAAAATTCTAGTCATGAGCTATGTGTTCATCATGTGATATTAACTCCATCTGGAGAATGTATAAAAATTAAGATATCAAAAACAACCAACAACACTATTATGTTTATCTCAAAATTTTATCTCGTATATATCTATTGTATAAACCCTTTCATCATGTTCAGAAATTAGGTATGTCTGTTATATTTTAGGTCCTATTAATCCAATGCAATTAAATACAAATTTACATCATGTTCAGAAATTAGGTATGTCTGTTATATTTTGGGTCCTATTAATCCAATGCAATTAAATACAAATTTACACAGCAATTAATTAATAAAATATTTTTTCTTTAGACAAAATTATGTTAAATATTAGAAATTAATGTGAACTCCTATTATAATAAACTCAAAGACATAACTAATTGCAGTGTCAGGTCAAAAATGCCTGAAACATAATGGGAGGCTTTTTTTTTTACTATCATTGATGGAAAATGCCTATTCTGTATTAAATACAATGTTATTGAAATTTCCCATATTTCTTAGCATTATTTCTCCTACAATTTGGCTGATCAATCACTTAATGCTAACTCATGACTCATAGCGCCTTAAAATACTTTCTGGAAATTTAAAGCTGTAATATCTATAATATTAACATTTAGCAATATGTTAAACCTAATTATGCCCTGATCACTCAAATGCTCCTCAACACCTGTAACTATATCCTAATTTGTTAACAACAAATCCAGCATAACATCCTCTCTGATTCCTTAACCACATAATGAAGAGAACAATCTTAAAACTACTTCAAGAAACCTTTCACCATTGACAAACTTCAATTTAAATTTTCCTAATTAATATGCACAAACTTAAAATCACCAATAGTACTTAATGTAACTCCATGTAAGAAGCCCACCCAACCTAATCTTGTTAAAAAACTGTAGTTATTAACTTTATACTCCTGCATCAACTAGCTAAAATACATACATAAACAATTTTCCTGCTTCATATTCACCATTTCATTTTCAATACTGCAATTAGATCTTTTTCATATATAGGTGCTCCCCCAATCTATACTTTGGAATTTCAAAACAGTTTGTATGATCTTTGTTCTCAGAATTTAACCATATTTTAGGTATTTTCACTACATCAAAATTCTCCACTCCAAGCAGATCCCTGAATTCACTCACCTTATTCCTAATTATTGTTGTTAAAAAGGGACCATTAATTTGATTAATACATCTATCGTTGTACTTGTAGTACACGTTGAAGCCAATAATGTAGAGAAAATCTGATCAGTAGAAATAGAATTTCTGGTAAGTACAGAGAATTGACAGATGCAGTTAAACTTAAAGAATGTGTAATGATTATGATGGGAGTTATTTGATAGAGCTTATGACTCTGATACTATGTCCATAGACTATAGCTCAGTTGGAGGAGAACCAGTCTTAGAACATAAGTACTAGTACTAGTAATACAGGATGGAGGACCTGGGCTCACGAGAAACAGTTATATACTTAAATTTAAAACCGTTGCAAAGGCCTATATGGACCCCTCCAGCCATAGTATATGATCAAATAGGGACATACTCATATAGTACTAGCAGTATATTAACTTATTATCATACTTCAGTTTACGCAAGATATTTCAAAATTTTACCCCTGTAGGCTGTACTATAATTATAGTAGCGCCAAGTTAATTAAAAACAGCCAAACATTTTTTTTTTCTCTCACGGGTGAACATTATCTGTTCGTTACTTACTAGTAGTAGGAGTAATAATAATCATGGGCTGTAAATTTGTGAAGTAATTAAGAATATAGTCCTACCTTCGTACTAAACTGCGCAAAGTGTCACATTAATGACAAATAGACCTAAATTCTTGAATAAAATCATAAAGATCCAAAAAATAGGCATCTATATATGCTTAATTCTAGTGCTTAAAAGCTTATATGAACGTTAAAAATTATTTAAAATGTTTAGCATTTGAAAACGTGATAACGTTAAAAAGACGGAAAACGACAATGTTACCCTATTATTGCCCGTTTATTGAAAGGAATGATTTCTGAAATCACGTTTTCCAAACTTTGTGTGAAAAGTTTCGGCAAAAATGTTTGGTGAGAGTTTAGAATCTGAATCATGTAGGGCGACAAAAAATTATTAAACTGATCCAGTAGTCCTATTTTTTCGCTTAGACTCAATTTTAGAACTACCTACTAATGATGTAAAACGAAAAAATTAGATTGCTGACTTGGTATAATGAGGTGGTCACGTTGCTTATGGACTGAGGAGTGATAAAACAAAATGGCAGAAATACGTGTTAAAAATATTAAGCGACTGACGAAGGTTAAAAAGTAAAATAATATATATATATATATTTCTAACATCAGGTTATTGTTTACGATTAATTTTTATGATTGAAATAAGCATAAGGAATTATATTTCGATAAAACAGGAACGTTTATTCGTCTCGGTATGACTTTGAATAATACCAGTATAGTTGTTATTATAAATTATATTTGTCATAACTTGACAACATATGACATCAGTATTAGGCCTATTATATTGTTATAAACTAATATATTATCATTACGTGAACATGACTTTGAATTGTTTTCTCGAAATAATTTAAAAGAACCCGCTCAACACAACAGTAATCTTAACGCAACTTTCTTTAATCAATCTCTAAGGACTTTTTCATGGAGAAAAATATATAACAGTATTTCAACCACTCGTGTCGGGCATCCATTTTTATTGGCGAAATATAGATTTTACGATAATACAAATGTTAAATCCATTAAATAAAACATTTTCCAATTTCATTGTTTAGTTGTTCGATAAGTGCACAAATTGTGAAAAAAAATATATTTTTTGATGTCAAGAGAAAAAAGCATCTTTCTTATTTACAGTCGCAGGTGCCCCACAAATGTTTATGATGAGTGCTCTTAAGAAAAAAAAAGTGTTTTCTATTTTCTTGTTAAATACAAAACTACACAATGGGCTATCTGCAAATGTGCCCATCACATGTATCGAAACTCGATTTTTAATGCCATAAACCATCATACTTACCACTAAGTAACTCTCGGAGATTGTTCTAAAGGAATAAAATATCGAAATGAATTGCCGTGATCTGGGTGTTTTGTAATAAATTTAATGTTGTAGACAGCATGCAAGGAAATGTTGTTTTATTACGGAAGAGGCCCAGTGGTTAGCCGATCGAACTGTACTACAAAAGTCTGTACTTCGTGCTGTGGTGTTATCAACAAATCTCACATTTTTCGATACAGGTACGTTAAACTAGTGACGGGCAATCCCGCTATTCGATTAAGAGTAGTCGCTTCGGGAGGTGGAAGCTGCCGACTTATTGCCTTCCCTCTAGTCTTTAGTCAGAATTAGGGGCTGTACCTGAACCACTAACAGGATTCTCTGACCTGGCCTTTATCTCGTTGTGTTCATAAGGTGTCTGTCTTTCAATTAAACAAATTAGGACGTCGTCTGAAAAGTATTTTACCGAAACATACTCAAATACTAAAACAATTACATTTGTATTACGACTTAACGATTTTTATGTAATCAAATGAATAATTGTTTATGGAAACTCCGATTATGATAGTTGTGTGTTAAGAAACAAATCATTTTAGTAGAAATCTTCAGTAAAAATGGACATATCTAGTTTCAAGCTATATTGTTTGGTGTCTCTAATGTTCACCAACATATAACTAGTCGATTGTTATTCTTAGTATCATGAATATAAACAACACGATTAACATAACGAATAAAGTAGCTAGAAGATTCACTATAGGTAATTAAAACCTAATTAATAGAAAATATTTTAAAAAATGATATATCAAAGATATAATATTAGTAAATTTTTACAGGGAACGTACCTACAAATTTAAGCACAAGTTTATTACTGAAGTAATACCTAGTTATAAAAAAATGTGTTGTAAAGCAATAATTTCTCAGTTCTAAAAGTGACTTAAAATTATTAGGTGGTGATAAAAACAGGACATTGTTCATGCCTAATGATAGGTTATAAACTGCAGTGATTAAAAATGGTCAAGTGTGCAAGAAAAATACAAATAACGTATTAGGTCGTCAAGAAATTAATGTCGCTTTTTTCTTAAATGAAAAACTCGAAGAACTTAAATATCAAAACAAAACATTTATTAAATGAAATAGTCTCCATTTTTATAGATCATGCTTTTTTATCTTACAATCAGGTTGTTAATGCCCTGATTAAAGAAATCATTTGGCTTTGAAGCAAAAAACGTGTCGATATCTTCTTTAACACCTTTCAAATTTGCATACGTTTTCCTATCAAAATGGTGTTGCAGCCAACGAAAAAGATAATAATCTGATGGTGTCATATCTTGAGAATATGGTGGATGGGGGAAGAGCTTCCCAACCTAACTCCATAATCTTGTGTTGCGTCAAACGTGCCACATGTAGCATTGTTGTGGAGATGAACACCTTTCCGATTGACGGGCTTGATTTAAACGTTTCAGTTGCTGACTATAGATATCTACATTGACAGTTTGCTGTGGATTGAGGAGTTCGAAATGAATTAATCCTTTGATGTCCCATCAAATGCAAAGCATCACTTTCTGCGGATGGAACTAGTGACAGTTTGCTGTGGATTGAGGAGTTCGAAATGAATTAATCCTTTGATGTCCCATCAAATGCAAAGCATCACTTTCTGCGGATGGAGTCTAGGTTTTGGGGTCGGAACTAGTTTTTGTCTAGGAGTGAGTCATTGTTTTTGGCGTTTAATTCTCGCATAGAGAATCAATTTTTCATCACCGGTGACAATTCTGTCCAAAAATGGTTCATGCGACAGAAGAGACGAAGTAACGTTCACACGTTGGAAACGCTGATCATCGGACAGTTCGTGAGGCACCCAAACACTTTTTTTAGGGAGTTTTCCCAATTTTTTTGACCGTTTCGGTTTTTTT